ACCGGTGCACATGTTGTCAACACAAGAATGAATTGTCATTTTTTTTAAATATTAAATAACAACAACAACACGAACTGAAATTTTTCAATACTATTTACTGTTTTTATTTTCCAGTTTTTTGATAAAACTTCACTGTTTCCTGCTGTGTTTTTTCTTGTTCTTCAATTTAATATCAGTTGTATTACTATTTTATTTGTTTTTTTATTTTTAAAATCGATTTTAATTAATTTTATTTTGCGCGACAAAAAAAAAAAAGTGCAACCTGTCAAATGAACTCACTTTTGTCCGCCATAACAGCATCTTCGTTTTGCTCTATAATGCAATTACATCTTGTATTTATAGTCATTTGAACGTTCATCATAGCTTGAATATCGAGAATTTCATAGAAATCAAGAGTAAATGAACGAATGATCAAAAAGTGTTCACAAAATGATTTACATTCAAAGGAAAATCAACTTTTCAAACTGTTCTAGCTACTCAATTCGATTCATTTTCATCCAATAAGCAATCTAATGTCACTTGAAAATAATCTGAATCGATTTTTATACAGCCATAGTGACTGATTTGCATGTATGTTTTTAAACTCGCAATAACTCGAATGCACACTTTTTAAGTTCATTTTCATTGTTTGGGAATGTATTTGGATGGTTTTTTGACACAATAAACTTGAATGTGACATTTATTTTTTGATAGAATGAATTTCGGACACGATCGGATTGGTCGAACTAAAACTGGTGTAGTCTGACAGGTCCACGAGATTTTCGGATCAAAATATGCATTGTTTAATCAGGTTTAATCGGTGTCATTTGTTCTTATTGTTTTATTTTTTTTATTAGCTCTTTGGCTAATTTTGTCCGCTGATTTTGAATATGATCATAGATTTGTAATTTGATATCATTCGATCGAACAAAATTCCATTTTAATAAAGTGAGGTTATGCAATTCATATTTATTTTGAATTTTTTATTCATTTATTTATTGCGTAAATTTTAATTACGTAATTAGAAAATTTAAATAAATATTTTTATTGAATATAGATTAAATCTAGGATTAATCAGGGGATTAATTTCATTTTCATTTTTGTGACACCAATCCCGTTCAAAATATTTACATATAAATAAATGAATAAAAAAATTCGTACGTAATACTTTATTACGTAAATTTTAATTACGTAATTAAAAGTGAGGTATATTACGCATATTTATTTCTGATTTAATAATCAGCGAATAATCACCGCACAAATCCCAGCAAAATTAAAAAGAAAATTAATTTCCGCTAAAAAACATTAAAACAAATTTTTATTTTTATTTTTTATTTACAAATAGTATACTTTTTAGAGTTTTTTGTATGAATAATTCAGTCGATAAGACAGTTTGACATTAGCGATTAACGAAATTTTTATTTACGCGTATTTACCGGTATTTACATTCATTTCCAGTATTGACAAGTATTTACACGTATTTACACGTATTGACATTTATTTTGTGTATTGAATCGTATTTTTTAGCTTTTTGACTTGTTCTCTCCCCCTAGACTCGTCTTCCATATGCATTGAATGGAAATAACTTCTAACCTTAAGAGAATAGATTTTTTTTTTTAGAAATTGGTTTTACGTTTTATTTTTCTTTAATTACTAATTTAATCTATGTGAATAAAATTCTCGAAATATCTGCAATGAATAAAAAAAAATTGATTTAGCTGCTGGAGATGCAGACTGATCATTTCAAGCAAGTTCAAGAGAAAAATTGCAAAAATCAACATTTGGTGAATAAATGATTAAACTAAAAAAAATTACCATGCGGTGAGCGCTATGAAGAGACAAAATGCGAATTCCCCTGATCCGTGCCATCTTGTATTCCATAGTTGAACTCAATTTAGTTACAATGAATTGAATCGAAAAAGAGAAAAAAAAAACCAACAGTAACATGGCTACATAGATCTGGTGACCAGTGAGATACGTATAACAATGGAATGAAAGAATGAAGAAAGCGTATATGTGTATGTATGCATCAGCACGCATAGATGTACAGCTCTGTGTGGCCGTGCTATTGTTGTTGTTTTTTCTCTTTTTCATTTCAATGCTACAGAATTAAATTCAGTTTTTCGATCTAATTTGAACTAATGTGAGGTGGCGCTGATCAGCTGCGTTCGCATAAAACAGTTCTCAATCTCATATACGCCAACCCCGCTTGAAAATTACTGTGTATTTTATGCATGAAAAGTTAATTAAAATTCTTTTACAAACAAATTTGAATAATAATCAATAAATCATTGTCCTTCGTTGTCATAAACATGAATGCGTACTTAATACGTTCATTTGACGAATAACAGGTGGCGCGTCGAACTGTAAAACTACGTATTACACTACTATGACATAATCTTAAATTTTTATTTATTATCATGATCCTTCTTTTTGCCAAAAAGTCTTTTATAAATTTTTGAAAATCGATGTTGCCCATTATCAATTATTCCAAGAATAAAATCCGGTATTGTGGTCCAAGACTGTAGTGTAAAAAGAGATAATTGAAATATTTTGAATTGGTTTAAATCACTTAGCAATTAAAATATGTATTATATTTGGTGTACAAATTAATTTTGAGAGATTTTCGTTAGATGTCGTAACTAATATTTTTTTCGTATCTGTAAACACTATATCCGGCTTCATGTCAAAGTACTCACAGAATCCAATAAGAATTGGCATGTGTCATTTGGTCGAAGTGTAAACAACACAATTTTTTGGTGCATTGAAAATGTCCGAGTGCATACCGAAAAAACAACATTTACGGGAAAAATATTTTTTTTCACTTCAATCAGAGCCGAAATGCATCTTATTCACCAAAACATTTGTGTCCGTAAGAATAAATATGGCAATACAAAAACGGCCTCTGAAGAACGTTACATAATTTTTTTTTTGTATGGAGTTGTACTATGAAAAAACATTTTATGTAACGTTCTTCAGATTCCGTTTTTGTATTGCCACTTTTATTCTCATGGACACATTTCAAGTTGAATTATTTCACTTATGAAAGACTATGTAAAATGCATGGAAAACTTTGCAATCAAACGTTGCTCTAAATTTACAAATGGATTTATTTTCGTATGGATTGAGATTGGTTGTAATGAGAGGATCTATTTCAAGAGTTTTAAGCAGAAAAAATCATATGTAAGTTGAGCTGAATCCCAAAAATTGACGTAAAATCCAAAAATTTGGGATTCTGCCAATTGGGTGACGTAATCAAATGTGATCGAATATCAACTCAGCAAAACTGTTACAGTTGATCTTTACTGATGTCGGCTGATAGTTATAAGTCGGAAAGTAATAGAAAAATGACAAAAACATGAAGAAAAATCCAATTTTCAAGTCAGAAAAACACATTAAAATAAAAAAACGCACAACACAATCGAATCGAATGCACATTACAAGAAAATAAGAAGGGAATATAAACGAAGTGCACGCTCAGCACTTAGGGATTACAGAATAGAGATGGAAAAGCAAATAGATGATAATCCAAAGGAATTTTTCAAGCACTTGAATTTCAATAAGGGGAAAAGATCTTCATCTTCCGCATGGAATGACTTATTTGGATGTAAAAGCTAGCGACAAAACAACAATTACTGGCATATTTGCAAAACACTTTGGCACCGCTTACAGCTCTTTAGAAGGTGTTCATCAAGAACAGGTCTACGATAACTATTTTAGCGGAATTTACTTCAAAGACGATTATTATCATGGGAAGGGGAAATCACACCGACGCCATCCGGAGATTACCAAGGCCTTTGACTGAGCAGCTGTTAAAATGGATCAAATCTTACTTGTCTGGACGCAGACAAATTGTAAAGATAGCAGATACCAAATTTGACCCAATCGAAGTTACTTCTGGGACGGGTCAAGTATATCCTATTGGCGCTACTTTGTTCATCATGTTTGTTATTGATATACCTTTCGTCTTTACCAATTCTTGCATACTTTCATTCGCTGATGATACAAAAATTTCAAAATGTATCACCTCGAGAGATGACTGCATTAATCTCCAAGTCATGATCGTGTAGCGGATTATTATAGACGCAATTTATTGAAATTAAATGTAAAGAAAGATCATATCATCGGGGATCACTGCAATATGAATACAAATACAACATGGGCGGCGTTCAAATTGAAAGAGTCTTTGTAATAAGGGACTTGGGGGTGTTTCTTGATGTGCAAATGAATTTCAAATCACACATTGAGCATGTCACAGCTAAAGCCAAATCAAGACTGGCTTGGTTAAAGTTCTACAGCAAGGATTTTATCGACCAATGGAAAATTAAACGCCTTTATTTTACATTTGTATTATCAATTATCGAATATGGGTCGGAAATATGGAATCCACACTACGCCAATATGTGCAAAAGAATAGAGTCTATACAAAAACGATTTTTACTTTATGCACTAACCAAGGTAAGGAGAAGGAACTGGGACAGCTAAAGATTTCCGAAACATGAGCATAGACTTCTGTTTCTACAAATGATTACGCTAGAGGAGAGGTGTAGATGGCGCAAGTGTCTTCATCTACAAAATTATTCATGGAGATATGAAGTCGAGTCATATATCAAACAGTTTAAATTACACAAAATCATGAACCAATTAATTATATGCTTACTACATTCAATTATTATTATACAAAAAAAAAAATAACAAACAGTGATACGAATTTAATTGATTTAGAAATAAATTTATCAACAGTCAAACTGGGAATTGAAAAATATTTAAAACAAAATAGATATAATTGGATTGAAAACATAATTGAGAACATCATTTATCTCTTTCAAAACTGCTTGATGTAAGATTTTAATTATATCGTATTTATTTAAATTATATTAAATAAACCACCAAGGCGAAGGAACGCTGTTCGGTGCAGTTATTATTATTATTTTCTCTTAAAAACACATCAAAATTAATTTGTACACCATATATCAAAGAAAAACATCAATTTTCAATTGAATTCACTGTTAACTAAAAAGAATTAAAAGTAAAAGGAAAAATAAAAAAAGAACAAATAATAGAATAGTTAGGGAAACCTTTTTTAATTAATTTTTTTTTTAACACAAAAAGCAACAACAACCAAGCAACAATTTCTTATTATTTTTAACACAAAAAAGCAACAACAACAAAGCAACAATTTCTTATTATTTTTTACCGAGAGTCGAGCGCTATCCATCTAAATACATTGTGACGTCACACATCTTACACAGAAACGGCATCTTTGTAAAACAGGATAACTACAATGTAAAAGTATAGCGAGAGGGGAAGGGAGTGAATAAAAAGGGGAAACAGATACGTTTGATTTACATTGTAGTTAGTCGGTTATTAATAGTTAGCGTTTATATAGTGTGCCCTTATTGCGCTTGACTCTCGTTTTTTACATATTTGGGAAAAAACATATTTCAACAAAAATACAGTGAAACATATACATATTCCAGACAACCATAAGATCCAATAAAGGCTACGATCAGAAAAATCATAGTATTTCGCAGCCCAAAAACAAAAAAAAGATATTATTACTGCCGCAACCAAATATTTACATACCTTTAAACGACATTTACTGGATTTGTATTTTGCTTGTAATATGACGTATTCTTTTTTATGTTTCTCCATTAAGACTTCTAAATCTTTTTCATGTTCTTTGCGTGAATTTTTCATTAAGACTTCTAAATCTTTTTCATGTTCTTTGCGTGAATTTTTCATTAAGACTTCTAAATCTTTTTCATGTTCTTTGCGTGAATTTTTCATTAAGACTTCTAAATCTTTTTCATGTTCTTCGCGTAATTTTTTCATTAAGACTTCTAAATCTTTTTTTTGTATATATTCATTATTTGGCGAGTTGGGTACTAATTCTTCTTGTATACGGTGTACTGTAGCGACTGTAACCACGTGTGGCTTGCCTTCTGCACCAGATTCGAGCGCATCTTCTTCTTTTGTTTTTTCGGTCGTTTCTGGTATGGCAAACGTTGCATTGTTCACATGAAAATCATTTGACGATGATGTTCTAGTAGCATTTGGTTGTTGTAACGGTGGAGTTGTCATAATTTTTTGAGCCGCTCCAACAGATGTATTTTGTTTGAAAAATCCTAATCCAGATTGATCCGATATATTTTGGGGTGGTGAACAAATATCGACTCGGTTAGGTTGAAAATTTAACATATTAAAGGATGAGATGAATCCATGTGTGGATAGAATGTGTAGCATTGGCATGACGGGAATTAGATTTTTACCAATAGTCAGCTGATGTGTGCAACCAGTTTCTAATGCCAACCCAATTGGGAATGTATCTTGTTTATCCGCTGTCAATGGAAGTGCAGCATGGCCTTCGTCAGTCTAATTGTATGTAAAAAAAAGTATCCGATTTTTAAACAGTTGTCGCTGACATCACAAATACATTCACAAAAAAAAGTTGACAATTTAAACAGAAATCCAGACACTGTCAACGTGGCAACTTGATATAAATAAGGAAATACTCACAAGTGTATATTTTTTCCAAAGTGGATTCTCTCCTGATTCGGTCGTGCCCAAAATTCCAATTTCAGTTCCATTTGATGAGGCCATTAACAAAATATTCCTATCAATTTTCGGAAAATTGTATATTTTCAATGTAAAACAGAAACCCAAAAAAATACCACCGAAATAATTTTGTTTACCATTGTAAAATGTGAACAAGAAAAACTTGTGGTGCTCTTGGCCCTGGTTGACTGAACATCATGTCATAGTAGTTTATATAATTCGGTGGCGCTGTTTCTGACGTGTTCATTATGAATAATGCTAGAAAAATGAAAAAAAAGGCATTCGTTTTCATTATGTGGGCGTTCATTGATTCTTAAATATTTACATTGGTTTGCTTCTTCTTTGACAAACACCACAGCGAATTGATATGTCGAAAGCCATTTTATAGCAATTGGATAAAATGGTTCCGCAAGAATTTGTGTTGCACATGGTATTGCTTTTGCTAGCTTCAAATCGAGTTTGTATTGTGCCAATTTTCCATTTGGAAAAGCGACAACAATCTGCTTTCCCTCTGGGCTCCAACAAGCACAACTGAAACATAATCCATTTTATGCATTAAACGCTTTAAAAATTGAATTAAATTCGACAACAAAATTAATTGAATAACATACCATGCATTTTCTGCCTTATCTAATGCATTGAATTCAAATCTATTCGCTTCAATGACATATGATGTGAGCGTCCCGTCGCTAAGACAAAGGGCCATTGTGTTCGCAATGACTGGATTCCACAAGATCTGATTCACTTTTACGCTGTTCGCATTTGACACCATAATTTTTGACAGTATACATTGAACATTCTACAAATTCATTTATTGGTGAGCATTTGAACGGATTTTTTTTTATTTCAACAACAAACTTACCGTCGACAAAAATGATTGCACTGCATATATGTCGATAAATGTGGTCCCATTAACTGTATAGCACACTGAAAGCATACTGTGGTCACAGCTAACAGCCAACATGTACGGTTCAGCAGGTAGATTTATGATTCGTGTAGGAATCGTTGGAGATTCTTTGTTCTCAGTAACATCTTTCAATCGGAGAACTAAATGGAATTAAAACAAATCGAACCGATTTAGTGAGTTGAACGAAAAACAAATTGAGTCTACGCCAAACCTTGTATTTCTTGCGCTGTTGGTCTTCCAACAATAATCAGACCAAAGGTACTGGCCGCTGCCAATAAATCAATGCCATTGTAATTTGGGGTGCTTTCATTCACATTGAATAGTTGATATTTGCTGTGCACTTTAAATTGGATGTCCTAGTCGAGAGCATATAAATGAAAAAAAAAAAAAAAAAAACATTTTGAGACAATGATACAATTGCATGGACATAACCTAAATTGGTGACACAAAAAAATGCAGTAAATTCGATAAATGAAATATGTATACCGTGACAATTCCAACTGGTGCTTCTTGCAATGCCATTATTCAGTCAAATGATCAGTGAACAAAATTACTTCGAACAATCAATAGAAAATAAATGGTTTTTTGTTTTGGTCAAAATATGCTAAAGTTTTCTAGCAAAATGATCTCTTTTCGTTTGTTCACTGTTAGTATGTGTTTTAATATGACAGAACTGTCAAACTACAATATAGTTTTCTGAAGAAGACTTAATGGTACGTATGAAACAAGATGGAAAATGAAACGTATTCTCTTTTTTGGCAAATTTTCTGCAAAATATTGTACTCTACTATAATTAACTGCTTTTGACACCGTGTAGCAAATTACTACTCAGTCAAAAAGAAAACGGTAAATTTAATTAATATTTTTCAAAGAAAATTGATTGTTTCTAAGGAAATATTTTTAAAATTATCTTTGTACTGATTGGTTTTCATTTTTTCTCCAAAAAATTTCCTTTTATTTCATTGACATACAGAATCCAATACTGTGGTATAAAATCGATATGCTGTCTCCAGTTGTTTTCAACTAGTGGTGTATGCTTTTGCAAATTTCACCAATTATTCAAAATGTTTAAAAAAAAAAATTGACTCAGTTTAAATGTTTTTGTTGTGTTTTGATTATGTGTGTCCGCTAACTTCATTTATTATAATTGTGGACCAATTCTGTCGATTATCAATTGTAAATTGAAATTTCAATAGATGTATAATATTCAATTATACATTGTATGTGTAATGTCCTAGTGAAAGTAACTAGGGGGTACAGCTGCTGCGACTACTACGGCACCATTCACTCCCTGAGGTTAAGCTGCATATGCGTTGGTCGATGATTGAATGGGTGACCGATAGAACATCGTATGTAAGTTACTAACGTTACTAACGGGGGTTTAAGCCAAATCGCATCGGCTTGATAGCGGCTTGACAGCGCATCAGCTGGATAGCAGCTGAATAGCGCACCAGCTTGATAGCGTCACAAAATCATCGAGAAAAAATAATCTTGGGTAATAATTACGCCTTTAGGTCTGTGCAAAAAACTGATAGCTTAAGCATGAGCGACACCTCCTAGCTCCCCAAATAAAAAAAAAAGTCCTAGTATTTGGTGGTTCAATAAGTCTTTGGCCTGACAACCAGGTCGTGTCACCTATAAAAAATCTCTTTATTTTTGACAAGTACCATCTGTCTCTAGACTACTGTAATTTCAAATGAATCCGTTTACGGACCTATAAGTTACAGCGTTTGAAAGAGACCAACCTCTAGTTTTTATCAGAAAATGGAAAAAAACGAAATTCGATTTTTCAAATCAACAACAATTTTTGTATGACAAATCTATGAGCAAAGCTAAAACTAAGCTTGGTGGTATTGTTCGGACTCTCTTCTATCTACTGGAGCTAGTAAGAAGTTTTATATTACTTTTGCATGTGGTAATACAGGCAACGGAAAACCACTTTCCCAAAAATGTCTCTTTTTGAAGAAATGATTAAAAAAATCCAAGATGTTGCTTTGAGGGTCTGGAATATCCTAGTGAATAATCTAGAATAGATCCGAAGCATCACGTGGAACAGCTATTTCGTTATATCAGTCCAACATTTGTGCAATAAAACTTCACTTGAACGGAGGCTGCCGCATTTGTTCAAAATGGTTTTGAATGGTAGCTTTAATGCGAACCTATTCAATCCATTTTGGAATAAGGTATAGTCTACACGGTCATCAAAAACCGATATGTCCACAAAAGCCATATAATCCCTTTTTTTTTGTTCGAGCTCGCGTTTTGTGGGACCGTGTTTTTGAAAATATTGTTTTATCATCTGGAATCAGTTGGAACGGTGCCAAATGATTAATTTATGACATTTTTAAATTTTTTGAATCAAAAGATTACTGTCTTGAGAGAAAAAAAATATATTTCAAAATTTTCACAACGTGGTGTCTCTCAAAGCCAAACAGGTGATATAATTTTATATGACTTTGATAACGAATCACTTTGTTATTTCTGATGTGGTTCGGTGGGACCTCTATCTATGCTCTGAGTAGAATGATAGTGTAATATAATTGCTTCCCTTCCGAATAAAGTAATAAAATATTGAAATAAGGTGTATTTTGAGGTTAGTCTCTTTCAAACGCTGTAACTTATGGGTCCGTAAACGGATTCATTTGAAATTTTTCCAGTAGTCTAGAGACAGATGGTACTTATCAAAAATAAAGAGATTTTTTATAGGTGACACGACCTGGTTGTCAGGCCAAAGACTTATGGAACCACCAAATATTTTTAAATCAGGTCTTCCTTAAAATAAGCATAATTTAAGAAAATCAAATCACCTTCAGCACGTTGCCCAGCATTTTCTTAAAACTTTTAATCAGCTTCCAGCTTAAATTTGTGTTCATTTTTATTAAATTGTGTTAGATTTCAATTTGAGTTTCTCAAAATTACAAAAAATATTGAATTTCAATGATTTAGATTCGAAAGAAATACTATCGTTGTATAAATACTGTACAACCAGAATATAAACTAGATCATTGAATTTTTGGGAATCGTCGGAATAGCAAGAGTAGCGAGAATCGTGGATAAGCTGTATTTTCTTCATTTGCAAACGGTGTCTAACCCCTAGGTTTACCATTGAACCGGAGACAAGATCCGATGGCAATTTAAAAAAAATTCCGTACTTAAGTTCTTCAGTGACATCATTTTCTGGAATCACCGTACAGATATTTTGTAATTTCTTTGAATCATAAATTTCATTTCTATTTTGAACATTGTGCTAACTATAAGCTGTAGAAAAATGTTTCAGCAATTATCTCAAGATCAGCTTTATTTCCACCAGGGGGATATTCATCAGTGTTTGAAATAATGATTACTTTTTACAATTCATTTATTTGAAAATCAATTACCATTAGTTAATGTAAATTGAAATTTTCAATTTATTTTTTTCAATTCATTGCATTGAATTTTCAATTACCATTTACATTCAAATTGGGAAATGAATTGAAATTCATTTCAATTGCGTGAAGTTGCAGAGATTCTACTTGGCTCTCATATTACTATTTTCGATTGTTTTGAATTTTTTTGGCGTCAATTCATTTATAATAGCATTTTGAATGTAAATTAAAATGTGTATATATTTAAAATTAAATATTTATAAACAAATCAAAAAAATTAAAATTGAAATTGTTTTCACTGCCGCGAGTTTCTTTTGAACTTATTGACACAGCAACCATTGTTGAATTGAAAAAAATGAATTGAACATTTCAATTTGCATTATTTAATGGTAATTATAATTGAATGAATTGGCATTGAAAAATTCGAAACACTGATATTCATACTGGAAAACTAGTGAAACTAGCAGCAACTAGCACAGTACGATTAGTGTTTCTAGTGCGTGAAGTTAGTTCTCAGTAAAACAAATTTATACACATTGTATATGAAGGGCCAACTTCACGCACTATAAAAACTAGAATTTTTTTTGAAACTAGAAATTGCATGAATATCCCCCTGGTTTCCACCACTCCATATCAGCTGACAATTCATCACTTTTGTTCCTTTTTTTATTAACAAAATTGAAAATCGTCGATCAATTGCTCCATCTGCAATTTGTAATCCTTGTATGAACAACGCGCATTTTGCTTGCGACGGGCATTGATGTAAATTCTTCTGTTTTCCGCAGTATTGTTTCTATTTTTGTAATTTATTGACCTCTTGATTTACTAATGTATTGCTAAACCATTTAGGATGCTTCGAAGGCATCATTACTTTGTGATTGACATATGATGAAATAAAATGATTCTATTTGTATGTCAAAAATTGGTCCGTTCAAAACGATGTCCCAAATCTTCTTCAATGAACTGATTGTTTATTTCATAGTAAACTGCGTTTTTTAAATCTAAATAAAATTGTTTCGCCTTTGGTTGATGCTGAATTTAATTTATTCATGTTGTGCCTGATAATGGATGATTTTGCATTGAAGAATGTGCCTTGGGTACTCAATAATTTATTTTCTCTAATTTTCTTTCATTTCTACGTTGAAATTGACAAAAATGCCAATTAAATATTGGACCAGTTGACTGGTATTTGCGTTGGCAATTGTTTGTAGGATGCTATTTTCTAGGCGTAGGCTGTTACTTATTATTGGGTGTGTGCATTAATTTTAAAGGATTTTAGTGTTCAAAGATACATTTATTCCAAAACTAAATGAATGAGTACATTAACCAATGTACTGCCCATCGTTAGCTATGATTTCGGCTCATCTTCTTGGCAGCTTGTCGATTCCGCGTCGAAAGAATTCCTCATCTTTTCCAGCTATCCATTGATCGACCCATTTTCGCACTCCCTCAGAATTTCGAAACGATATCTCAGACAAGCCAATTTGCATTGAACGAAACAAGTGGTAGTCAGAAGGGGCAAGGTCTGGAGAGTACGCGGGTTGATCAAGCTCACCCCGACCAGAGTCCCCTATCTTTTTTTTTGCGATGTTTGAAATATGTCAAATTTTGATAAATCCTTCGACTATTTCTTGTCGCAGTTTTTCTCAATTAATAATCTGCTCAAACGTATTGGTTGTAGTCGATACTGATCCCCCATGACAGTTTCACCCGGTTTAAGCAGCTCATTATACACCAAACCACTTTAATCCCACCAAATAATGAGCATTACCGAGAAATCATCAAAATCCTGCTATGCTATTGATTTTGATGATTGTGTGGGATTGAACCCTTATTTTTATGCCTGGGGTTATCGTAGCAGATGCCCTCTTCACTTCCAGTTACAATACGATACAAAAATTCCTTTCTCTCCTATTTTTGGAACATTGTGCCAAAATGTGAAAAACGTCTTACAACTAGTTTTGGATTCAACTGGTGTGGCACAAAATTTCTTTGGTCTTACCTCATTATAGAAGTCTTAAAATGATTGATTCGCATATTTTTAATGCTTCTGATGTTTTCTGATGCATTTTCATGCATCTTTATCGAATAAAAAACGCCAATATTCAATTTTATCATTCAATTTTTTTGGTGAGTTCACAGTTTTTCAACAAATTCACCACTTCTTTTTCACCAAATTCAACATCCTCTGTGGCGATTGAGAGGTCTCTCTCCTGCAACATTTTATAACCCTTAGATGTATTTTCAGTTTATTTAAAGTGAAAAAATTGAACCAAAAGAGGGCCAGTGAGAAAAACACGTTTTCGTCACTCATT